TTCGTGTTCTTCAGAGCCGCAAAGATTCAGGCGAATTGAGTGGAACAAAAAGCCACTGAAATCTTGAAGGGAATGACTCAAAGACGAAAAGGTTGAAATGGAAACGAAAAGAAAAAACCGGCGAAAAAAGTCTTTAAAGAAAAGCAGAATGAATATTATAATCAGTTAGTTGTAATTACTACTAACAGACAGTAATAAAATTGTCACTTCCTGTAAGTAAGAAACTGTAAAGGCCTTTACGAAAGCCCTGAAACTTGTAATGAATGAATGATCGAATGACAGTTAGCATTTAACAATTATTAGCTTGTTAGATATAGCTTGCATTTATATTTGTAAATAGGTACTGAAAAACCTTTTTTTGGGAGTATTTATTAAAGTTTTAATTTAATTTAATTTAAGAAAGCTGACACCATTGTAAGGAGTTCAGTAATTGAAATCTAGTAGAAATAAAATTTTAAAATGTTTCCGTTTTTTAATGCACTCCTTACGACAGCACTTCTATTGTGGCCTATTCATTTATATCAGTTTTGGCTATTCATTTATATCAGAAACCTTTCTTGAAGTGTTGATCTACAATTAATGTACTGCAATGGCATTGAAAAGTTTACAAAAATTACTGTATTGACATTATCAATTAAAGTTATGTGAACTAGCTAACTACAATATTGCTGCAAGGAGGCTACGATATTCAGTGAATATTAAACTGCATTTTTTAAAATATTGCAGTGCAGTCACCCCACCGCAATATTGCGCGTTTTAGCTCGTTTAGGATTACCCTTGATAATTTCCCTGCTACCAAAAAGGACCGCCGCCGTTTTCCTCACAAACTTCGATTACTGCACTAAATATGTATACCGGCCTTCTCAGGCTGAAATCATCGATACAATTCAGAGAGAAAACAATAGAATTTTTTAAGGGTAAGTAATTATTACGACAGCTTAGGAACACTAAACACTTTCCTTTCACGAGATATTAGAACAAATATTAGACATTCTTAAGAACCCTAAGAAAATGGTCAACGAAAGGTGACCTTCTTCCTTGGTGGTTTGGTGCGTTTAAACCGGCAGGGGGTTGGGTGTGGGAGAAGGGAGAGTGGGTACCCTGCCACCAACAATCTAACTAAACATTCGATAAAGCAAAAAAGACTCAACTTTTCATTCCAACTCTCGATAACTTTATTCCTTGCACGGGCACAAGCTCGATTCGACTAAAACGCCTATCTACTTTTCATTAAAATAAAATTTATTTATTTACAAAGTCTGCTTATCGTTGTTGTAACTTTGCTAGAAGAACCCTTTAACATCTTAAGGTAGGGTGAAACGAGCAACTTGTTTTGCGACTTTGCTGCAAAAGGACTTGAATGGCGATGTTGCACGTTTTACCACACTGGAAACCTTATTTGTTGTAGGACAGGTTCGAAGGTGGATGGTAAAACGCGCAACATCGCTTTTCAATCCTTTTTGCAGCAATTTTGCAAAACAAGTTGCACGTTTTTTGTCGCCCGTTTTAGTGTAGCTTTGGTGAAATCAAGATCTGTACCGAATATACCACGAGAAAGTACTGCTGACGAGGTTTCGTTTAAACGGTCTATACCACACGATGCTTAATACTTGTGTTACCTGAAGAGTAAATCTTACAAACCCAATCGCGCATTTGCCACAGGGAGTTCAGTTATTATTCATTCAAAATATTTCTCCGTTTCTGATTGGCTAAAATCCCACGCATAATTCAATCGATCGATGCTTTTATTAAAACCAACCGAGTCAGTGACGCTTAAGGTAAGGATTTTTCACGCAAATTGAAGTGGGACTTACACGTACATTTTTATTTGTTAGAGAAGGTTAATTTAGGCAGCCATAGGGTGATGTGGACCTACTATCTTATTATTTACTGAAAAAAATTGAAATAATAAAATAAAATATGTACAATTACAATCAGTAAATAATTAAAATTTAGATGAGTACTGACAATCTATAAAATCGTCACTTTTCTTCGCTATCATAGGGGCCTTAAATGAAAATTCATTAATATCCTTAGAGAATCTACGTAACATCTGTTTAAAGCGGTCCTTCTTAGATGTTTCACTTGAATTTAAGAAAAAGAACTCGCTCATAATTTTAACAAACCTATGCCTTGGGCAAATATTCTCTTCATATAGTAACCTTTTAACACAAGCTACTTTCCTTGACATTTCCTCTTTGGTGGGTCGCCTTCACGGTGAATATATTCTTGTTTTGTTTCAATTACTCATGACTTCTTTTCTCAAGGCGCTGTAGCTTTGCCAGATTTTGTTTCAAAGTGTTGTCGTTTGGATTCAACTTAGCAGCAGTTTCATAATGAAAGCGTGCTTTCGCATAATTGCCCTGTAAAAAGTAAAGCGCAAAATTAAAGTTTCCTCTCTGGTATTTACTAACATTTGTCATTGAGTAATACAATCGACTCTCTATTAACGAACATCTTAATGAGACCGACATCTCGGTAAAACGGACAAGTAGAGTTGGTCCCTGCCTTTCTTTACTCCCTTTATTTGACTCTCTATAAGACGGACACCTCTCTTAGACGGACACTTAGTGCTGGTCCCAAAGTGTTCTTCGTCGAGAGAGTTGACTGTTCCGGTATTAGAAAGCTTTAGATTTGACGACGATAACGAGTATGAGATTTAACTTAAAACTTTTGCGCGTGTACTCAAAAAAAAACAACACCCTGGAAAGATTCATTTTACTTATTTTCTCCAGAACAGTTAGTACGACTATTTATACTGAAGGAAGTTAAGCCCTCTCCAGATAGCAAAATGCTAAAACTTCTAAAATTTGATAACATGTTCCCGGCACTACCACATTCTCGCTAAAACTCGTAGTAGAATGACGACGGCTATCACGTTTTCCCGCCAAAATCACGTTGGCTCACGCAAGAGTATTAGTTAGTACTGAGAAAATCTCGTACTCGTAGTCGTCCTCGTCTCAGGATCTAAAGCTCTCTAATTATAGATCTAACATGACAAGATTTAATTAACAATATGACTGCTTAACAATGATTGTCTCTTCGCCTGAGCAAGTGTCGCCAAATGATTTGGCAAAGATGAAGGAATTCTGGGCAAGTCTAAACAGATTAAATATATCATGTCATCATCTCTATAATCTCTAGTCGCAACCTACCTCAAGATGAAAGATAACTCCAAGGTTTAAATGAGCACTGAAGTGTTCTGGGTCCAATTGAAGAGCCAACGTGAAGCTCTGTGTGGCGACAAAAATGGTCATTACTTACTTTTTTTGTTATAAACAAGTATGGAAGTGGCGGAGGAATGGGAAAATAAAATACTGGAGGAGAGAAGGAGCAGGACAATCTGGATAAGGAAGAATGGAAGAGGCGAGGAAGATAAGGAGCCCAAAAAAGATGTGGCTGCCATATTATTGACAAAGAAGAGAAATAAAGGGGCGGGAAAAGAAAGGGGATAAATGGTGTGGATCAAAAGGACAATTAAAAAAACCCAAACCTTTTGGGCCTCTTGCATATTCTTCAAATCTTTATAAAAATTGCCTTGATGAAAATAAAGGTCTGCGTCACCAGCATGAAGTTCAAGGGCGTTGTTAATAACTTGTAGTGACTGCAACAAAAACAATAAAGAAACTAAATAATTAAGGTGATGTTACATGGGACGATTCGCAGCGACGATTTTTAATGCAACACAGCGTCGCAAGATTGGAACAACGTTATAACTATTCGAAACAATGTTGCAACGTTGTGTTGCGCTAAAAATAGTCGTTGCGAATCGTCTTGTGTAACATCACCTTTATAGACGAAGACTTGTCACACTCCAGACCTTCTACTCTTCAAAAACAATCCCAAGCGGGGAATAACAGATTAACGGAAATCAGAAAACGCGAAAAAAAATAACAAATAAAAATGGAAAACAAAACAGTCCTTTAGAAGGCTAAACACCTTACATCTTTTACTTGTCCCTTTTGAGCATACATTCCGGCCAGTGTTTTATAATGTGCAAGGTTCTGGGGATCATCTTGCACCAGTCCCTTCAGAATATTCACGGCCTCGCTGAGCCGTTTTGTTCGACTGAGAAGAATGGCCTGGAAATAGAAATAACAGAAATCAAACGTTGGCAGAAACGAAGCCACAAATGACGAAAACACCAAACGGAAGGCAGGGGGATTCAAGCCGGATGGATAATGGGTGACAACACACCATTGTGAAACACAATAGCATGATAGGGACTGGTTAGGCCCATTTCTCATTTATTTGCGCAGGAATACATTAACGCCGATGACCTCTTCTTCTCATAAATAAATGCGCAAGAAAAGTGGCCTGACCGGTCCCTACTATACTAGTTAACACACATTACACACTTATTCATAAGACTTAGGAAGATTAGACCTGTTTCCAGTGGCTCTGCATGCTAGCTTCGGCCATTTTTATTAGCCACAATCATCATTTTTATTTAGACTAAGGTTGGACACGTAAAATCCAGGCGACAAATAATCTACGCCTACTCTGTTTTATCGGCAATCACAAACTTTTCAGGTGACAAGTAGGCGAATCGGATTCGCTCTAACAAAGGGCTTGCCGTTAAAAAGTCAGTTTTTCAATCTTTTTACGGAGGTTAATCATTTCTTTTGTTTCACTCCCAAAGAACGCAGAATTGTTTTCCCTTAAGAAATAATCCCTTTCAAAAATTTTGCTGCGCGAAGAGGAAAAAAGAAAAACAAAAAGCACTCACGTAGTTTGACAAAGTCTCGACATTTGATGGCGCCAGTTGCAGCGCTTCTTTCCAGGTCGCCTCGGCTTCCTTCAATTGATTATTGTGGTAATATAAAACACCAAGAAGCTGTAAAGTACCTGGCTCTCTTTTTATTGATAAAGCTCTAAGGTGAAAATAAACAAATAAATTACCCATTGTAGTCTTAAATAATAGAAAACGAAAGTGTCACTAAAGTGTCTTGGCCATTATTTCTTGGAAAGCCTCAGTCGGAAGCCAGCTGTCCTGTGCGGGCTATTGAGGGTACGGGAATATGGGCGTGAGCTTTACGGCTCACGGCCTCATTTTTGAATATCCCTTGTAGCTAACAAAGTTGTCAGGATCATTTCAGCGAAAAATTGTAGGATAAAACATACTTTGCGGAAATACAGTTCGTCAAAGGCTAGTCGAACCCCGGTCCCCTAGCTACGAGTTTACAGGAAGATGTGATTCTACATTGGAGGCAAACTCGTAGATAAAGGGGAATGAAATAGACTGCCTGTGTCAAATACAGCCCTGACTCACTTGAACTGAATTTCCTTGCTCTGTAAATTCGTAAATAGAGGGCACTGATGATTGGTTTATTAAGTCTCGCAAAAAAACCAGGCCTCGCTGGGAAACAGAATAGCATGCATGGATCACCCGCTTGGCGAGAAAATTAGATCAGCATTTGTTTTGTTTCTGGCATCTAAATCGTGAACAATTCACCAAAGCCACTAAGTGACTTAGATCAGGATTTTGTGGTAATATATACACAAACCTTTTATAAGTTTTTTCCGCATCATGAATGTTCCCGGAGGCACGCAATTGTCGAGCCATGTTCACCAAAGCTACTGAGTGACTTGGGTTCAGTTTTAATGCAGTTTTGTATTTCTCCAAGGCTTTTGTTGTCTGACCCATTTTACCCAGGAAAACGCCATAATTGTTGTGCGCATCAGCGTTTTGTGGTTCTAAACTCAACGCTTTTTTGTAAAACTCCTCAGCTTCAACCAGTTTCCCTTGATCGCTAAGAACACCAGCGATATTCATTACCGCATCCAGATAACTTGGATTCAATCTGATGAGAAGAACACTGATATGAGTAAATCATGGCGAAGACAAGGTTCCATCGAGTTACTTTTTAAGAGTAAAGCAACAAAGACATCGCATAGAGGAAATTTTTGTATCCTAGTTGGTTTGCAGATTTAAGATTTAGGATTAAGTATTTAAGTATAATTGGCTGTTTCTCTGTTTTGTCTTTTTTTTTAATTTGACTGGGATAACACAAGAGAAGAATACACTGCACGACAGATGAAACAAACAAATAAATAAAGTTGTGTAGCGGGATTTTTGAACACGTTACCGCCAAAATAGACCTCTTCCGTCAACCAGTGTTTTTCGTTCAAAAGTAGCCAATTCTTTATTTATTTCTCCTATCTCTCTCTATTTTTCCTCTTCTTTTCGTTTCGTAGTGTGATTTTCGGGTTTATCGGTTGCAAGAAACTTGCCTTTCTGGCCTCTTTTCAGTCAAATGGCTGCAATTTTCGATAGGTAATTTTTAAAAAAACGGCTGGATATATCTTTGAAAATAAATAACTAAAAACTACCATAAAAAGAGTGGAGGCGTAAAGTGCCACAATTTAAGCAACATGAGAGCGGAAGAATCTGCAGTTCAGTGTATACTCACCCGAGTGCCTTTTTCAACATTGTTTCAGCTTCAGCTAAACGCTTCAAAGCCCTGAGAAGAAAAAAAAAACAGGATACTATTTTTACACAACTGTAACGATTAGAACAATGTTTTCAGTCAAACAGACATTTGCCAAATCTTAGCTTCAAAAAATTGGCGGTGAATTTGGAGTTCTAATCCCAACTTAGACAAAAGGGTATTGACTGTGAAGTCATTTTTCGCTGTGTATAAGTTATTAGAGACGCCTCTACAAAATAACAGTACTGTTATTCCTATATTAATGGCAGGGTTTCTTCGTCAAAAATGGCGGTGCGCGCCGCAGGTTTGGATGGAGGCCACGTCGCTTATTACACGTTAACCTGGAGCTGGTTAAGAGGCGATGCTAACTATACTAAACACGCCTTTTCAAAAAAAGGAAAGAGTGCTTCCCTACGATCTATCTGAAGTTACATTATGAGGTACTCACGCTAAACGTGTTCCAAGATTGAAGTAGGAGTTTGCATGGTAAGGATCGTGCCTTATTGCTTGATAGAAATGCTCCATGGCTCTCTGAAGGCGAATTAAGACATATAACCGGAATAGTCGTTCATTGTTCAGTCATTATTTTCTTCAGTTATAGGCGAAACAACTGTAAGTTGTGATAACTATCTATAAGTTATAGCCAGCGAATACAACCTCTTCTCATCGCTTCTCGCATCCCCAGCAGCGGGCAATGATGAGGGCCTTCCTCCGTACTGGGCGGAGTTCCGAATGAGATTTTACTACTTAATATATTTAAAAATCGGCTCAAAATTGTGGCAACGGTTAGGTATTTCTGCAGGTACCGTCATCATAAAAGAAACAAAGGAAAGAAACAGTAGAGTTCTCCTGGGGGCTTTATTGTTTGGTTCTTTTGGTTCTTTTGTTGTACGTAATCTGTGCCTCGGTACCTACAGAGAGAACCTGATTCAACACTAATGGTCGTAACTGTATGCAAGAAGGTTTCTAAAAAAAATTCAATAAATGGCCTTGCTCGGCTCCCCACGAGTCTCTCTGTAGCTTGGAGGATAGAGAGCCCGACCCAACGAGGTTCTGGGTTCGAATCTGGACGGGGGTTCAATGTTTTGTCTTTGAGCAAGAAAAGAATTTTAAAATTTCTTGGTCATACCTCATTGTTTTCCAAGAGTGTACCGAGATTGTTATGGGTGCTAACATGATCAGGGGCCAACCTAAAGATGGAAATAGACAATATCATTTCTGTGAGAAGCAACTTTGAGATGGCGTATTTACGCGCGAATAGGTGTCACCACCAAACTACCCCAATCATATAAACACAACGGAAAGCCGAGCCATCCCGGTTAAGCGGGCTAGCCCGGCTAACCGGGCTCGCTCATCTCATGTAAACAGGCCCTGAGAACATCAAGTGATCTGAATAGGGAAAACAAAGCATACCATGTAGTATATTAACCCCACACACCAAAAAGAAAAACACGGTTCTTTTAGAAATACTTGACTTTATAAGGCAGCGATATCGTCAAGTTAGCATTTACCTACTGTACACTCTGTACCAACTCAAGATTTTTCTTTTTTTTTTCTTCCAAAACGACGGGACGAACTGTTACCTTAGACTTCTTGAAGTCTGTTTTAGTGGAGTCCCCTGACTATCGATCTCTTGTAAGTCGACTTAAGCGAAATCTAGTACTAATTTCAAAAGCATGTTCTAACGGCATTTTAAGCAAAAACCGCTCCTACGAAGATTTTCAGTTCAAAGTACCACCAGTGATACGGCATTCATGAAAAAAGACTCACCTTAGGGCTGTTTCGTAGTGGTGTATAGCTTCCTTGCTCCTTCCAACGTCCTTTAAAAAATTAGCGTAGTTATAGTGAGCTTTGGCATTGTGAGGAAGGGTTTCAACCCCGGATCTATAAATAAAGGTTAGTTGAAGTTTTAATGCAAAGTCAAAGCAATTACAAAATCACTATTTACACCAACTGAAGTATTCAAGAAAAAACATTGATATTCACCTAAATAAGGACTCTCTGTTTCTCCACACTCGGTTACGGACAATAACTTTCCAACAAAAAAGTCCAGTCAGCATGAAAAATACTAGTAGTAAGGTCTTTTGCAGTAGCTTTGTCGTTGATGACGCTTCTGAAAATGTCGAAGCTTTCGTTCGTTGACCATTGTTCGTTTTATCCGTGTTAAAAATTGTTCTGTCACTTCTTGTAAACGAGGCCAGTCTATTAATCCCGCAAACAATCAGTAGGCAGAACCCCATGCTACAAAAATAAATGAAAGACTCCATGGCAGCATTCAATCAAACACGTATTTAAGTATTACATCAATAAGAAAGAGTGTTCCATAACATATCAAATACGGAACGAGAGTTGGCGAACTTCAAGGTGTTTAAAATTGCGATAAAACAATGCTTCGATTATAGGATTATTTTCTCAAACATAGCGATTATACGACAATGGCTAAAGTTCGTGTAACCAGCACCTCCTGTTGTTATAAACGTTAGGGGCATTGTTTCCAGAAAATCAATAAAAGTAGTCACTGCAAGTGGTGCACTTGTCCTGCAGTTATCCAGACATGTCAGAAAGTCACGGCTTGTGAATTAGTAATAAGTTTGAAAAGACAAGATCAGCGACACAAATGCTTAGACTATGCTTAGACTGTCGTCGATGGACCATGGATCGGGTAACAAAAAAAACCTACACACCCCCCCCCCCCCCCCCCCCCCACCCCCCCCACCCCAAACCCCAAACCTCTTTTTTTTCAACAGAAAAAACAAAACATAGTAGGGGAAGGGGGAGGGGACGTGGCGGTCATTTCTTTTTACAATAATTGTGTCAGAATACCACAAAAACAACCCCCCCCCCCCCCCCCCCCCCCCCACAACCCCACCTCAATCCCTAACCAATGGTGACTGGTTTGAACAGGAGAACAACATTATATTGGGGGAGTAGGGAAGGGAGGACTCGCTTTTTCCTTTTGTAACAAATAGTGTCGGCAAAAATTGAGAAATGCCGTTAGAAAAAAAAAGCAGTGTTTTCTTTCATGTAAGTCTATGTCAATTAATAATATAAAGAAGCCATAAAATTAAGTCGATTTTTACCTTGGTACATACAAAATTCTTTCAGCAACCACAAATCCTACTCTGAAGAAAAGGTTTGATGCTGGAAGAAAAGGAACGACCAACAAGGCCAGGGACAGCAAGAGAATCTCCTGTTCTTTAGGCTGTAAAAGAAACCGTCAGAAAGAGTGGATTTAACGTGAGTAAAATTCTCACAATAAGGGAAGAAATGTCTCTTAACCCTTACACTCCTAAAATTGTTTTAAGTCAGTATTCGACAAAATTTCCAAATTTTATTTTTTTAAAATGCTGAAGAATAAAAATAGCACGATGTGAAGGTACTCAAAAGGAGGTTCCATATGGATGGTCACAACGTTTGAGTCTGCGAAGGAAATCAAGACTCCATCAATCACGAGTAGAAAGGTTAATTTAGCAGACATTGTCAAAATATGGAAACATCTTTATTGCAGCTGACAGTTCCCTAGGATATAAACGTTTTACACGCTATAATACGGGCACTTACATAACTCGAACAAATATCTCAGGTAAAATGGAGCGTCATAAAGAAAAAATAAACGGATCTTGGCAAAAACACGAAGAAGTGCTGGCCACCAGGGAAGGCAGTCTGAAACGGCGATAAATAGGTCATTGATATAGCTTAGAATTCAAGAATTTCACAGATCTGCAAATAACAGTCGCTCGGATTAGATAATCTCCCATTAAAATTTGCCCACGACCCACAAATGAGCAATTTACGCTACAATAGGTAGACACCTTGAATGGGGATTTTATGGTTGACAGGGCATCTTTTTGGGTTAATACAAACCAAATAAAAAATAAGTATAAGTTATTACGATAACCGGCCGTAGTTTTTGGCGCCACGCATGTTGTCTTGAAGTTACTGGGTCGCAAGGGACGTTACCTTGTACCTGACATCTTTCCTGCATTTCACAATAATGAACTTTATATTCAGTCAATTTTCCCTTTTTTAAGCAGTAGACAGACTCACTATGGGAAGTTTTCACAATGAGCACTGCAAAGAGAGGGATCCCAGGGGAGGAGGGCCAGTCTTCTATACTCACGTCAGTTTTGTTGGACACCACTGAAGAGTAAACCAAAAGTACAGCTATCACAATAAACGTCAGCGTTGCTAAGTTACGAGAGTCCCAAAGTGATTCCACAAGTGGTATGCTACCCATTTGCCAATCGTAACTCAAGACACTTGGTGTGAGAAGCAGCCAAGAGTTGAAGGCAATTAGATACCAGTAGGTCATTATACGAGTGGCTAGAGAGTCTGAGAACGATGCAGGGTTGTCTTGTTTGGTGAAGTATGGCAGATGACCTCCAAGCATCCATACCCTGAAAATCATTAGGGCGACGACCTGTAGGAAGGATTGATGAAACAGCATATATCAGTAATGAATGTAACAGCGTGTGCATGATTCACTCATTTGGGAGGTGTGGTAGTCTAAGTGATAACGCGTTAGAAACTTCGTATCTAGTAGTAGTAGTAGTGGTAGTGGTAGTGGTAGTGGTAGTGGTAGTGGTAGTGGTAGTGGTAGTGGTAGTGGTAGTGGTAGTGGTAGTGGTAGTGGTAGTGGTAGTGGTAGTGGTAGTAGTAGTAGTAGTAGTAGTAGTAGTAGTAGTAGTAGTAGCAGCAGTAGCAGCAGCAGTAGCAGTAGCAGTAGCAGTAGCAGTAGCAGTAGCAGTAGCAGTAGCAGTAGCAGTAGCAGTAGCAGTAGCAGTAGCAGTAGCAGTAGCAGTAGTAGTAGTAGTAGTAGTAGTAGTAGTAGTAGTAGTAGTAGTAGTAACCTTAAGATACACCGTTTGCTACATGTTGTGTGAAAGGCAACCATGCATGAGTCACAGATGTAATAAAGCAAAGCTTAAGCAAATAAACCATACTCACTGTGCTTGAAAGAATTATCATCCTAAACAAAAGAGGTTTCACTGTTTCACTTTCCAAGGCTCCTCTACTGGTCATAAACCTGCAGGTACAGAAACAGAAAAAAAGCTTTATAAATATTCTTAAAAGGTTTTCCAGTTTGCCTCTACATGTACTGACTTTTTTCAACTCCCATTTCGCACACCTCTTTATTTGAGACAGTTCTCCCCTTGGTCCCAAAGATACCAAACTTCAAACAATCCCCACCTCTATAATACAGGTACCCTTGAATGTGGACTATTGGCTTTGTTTCCCAGAGATTTGGCTGTATGAAAAATTAAAAATATGATTTTTTATTACGCCAAAAACTTTAAAGAATCCTTCTTAGCAATAGACAGCCAATAGTTAGTATGCTATACAGCCGTTGCTTGTATCATCATGCAACTCTTCTGGGAGGAGCATTGCATAACGACTATAACAACGGCTCTATACCAGACTAGCCCATAGTTAACTAAATGAGAATGGTATCTTAGATTCTAACCTCCATATTAACTTTTTGTGGATTACAAGACAATCATAGATGACGCAGACACCAAATACAGTTATACCATGCTCTTTTACAAGCATTGCCATCGAACCAAACATCACACAAAGAATTGTGTACATGTTGCAGCAATGGCTCCTCTCTCTGGTTGATCTGCCAATCACAATGGAAAGATAAAGAAGTTACAGTGTACAACTCAAACCAGTCCCTCAAGAAACCTGTCAAGGGATCCTATACCTCAACGAATAACTGGAACTAATTTGTTTTTCCCAAGGTAGTTAAAAGAATTGGGATTCCATTGTAGATATAACATTGCTGGTAACCTAACAAACTGTTACAGCTAAATCATGGTTGTCACTAAGATTTCAAGTTGCTGGGTAAATACAACAAGTAGGCGGGGAATCAAAGAGCTAGAGATTTCTTTTGGTTCTGTTTTTCTTCTATTTTCCAATAAGTAGCCAGAGACCACACTCATAGTAGCCAGGGGAAATCCCTGGCCCGCAGCTCTTAATGACAGCTCTGAGCTAAACAAGTACACTGAAAATGAATCCACCCTTTATATTTTTGAAAATAATTACATATAAATCTCTCATATTTCAATTTTTCAATTATGTTCTATGTTCCTACTGCAGTAAAGTTATCTAAGGAGGCTATTAAGAGTGGCTTTTTTTACTCTGCTGTTTAGTGAGAGTCTTGATGAAGTAAATGCGCTCTCATTTTTGGAAGAAAAAGTACAAAGTTTTGAGAAGATGGTAAATCTATGAATTAAAAGCAGTCTACAGTACCTTACAAAAGCAAGGAATGAAAGTAGAAATAGCAAGCATGCCAATACATCAGCACGTCCCACAACACCTGTCACCTAAGAAATAATAAAATAATGGGATAAGAAGCACACTGGTGTATAGCAAGGATTTAACTGCCACCAGAGACTAAAGCCCTGGGGTACTTTCCCGTGAAAATGATGATTGTGATTTAACTCCTCCCAAAGGTACCAGAATCTCGTTCTGTGGATGTGGCTTAAATTGACTTTCATGGCCCTGAGAAGTACCAATTTTAAACAAATTAAATGGCAATGAAATTTTTGATAGCAATAAAGACTAGATACAGTTGACAAGTCTCATTATTATGGCTCAATAACATAAAAAGCCCATAAGCAGTACTTTCATTATGGCAACACTAACACAGCATGCAAAGAAAATCATGTCTTATAGCTCAAGGCTGGTGAATTTTGTTATTGGGCTAGTGAATTCTGTGCCAAACTTGACAGATGGGTAAGTGGTGTTTTTCGGGAACTTCAAATTACAAAAAAACTGCAATCAATCCTGCTCATCAAAAAAAAATTTTTGGGCCAGTCAAAATGTATCTTGGGCTTGTAGTAGATGCTAGCTACAGCTGGTATGAATGGCAAGCTGTAAAACTGACTTTCTTTGCACCCTGTAACAGCCCAGGGCCACCAGTCTATACAGTAGTCTTCATATCACTTTGGTACCATAGGAATGGACCTCTTAGTCTAAAGCTTGTTAAGTTCAATGTTATACACTAGGGGTAACAAATCAACAGGGGCGTGTTGTTCAAATGTTGGATAGCGTTATAAATCCACTGGATGAATCACTAACCAGCAGATAAGTGTTACGGAAACCATTGCACTATCCACCCCTTCGAACAACTGGGGCCAGTTCTTTCCGAAGCAACCAATTGTTTTTTGCAAATTTTCCAAACTGATGTGAAAAGACATTTTTGCAAATGATTTTGATATGCAGTGAAACAATTTCAGTGAAATGACTTTGTAACAAAACAACTGGTAAATCTATATAAGAAACCCAGCTGCCATCATCTTGACCATCATAACTTGCCCATCTACCATAATCAGTACTGACGTAAAGCCCAGTTCAGTCGTCGAACATTTCACTCGCTTAACCTAATCCCTTCAATTAAGTAGTCACTACATGAAAAGATCAACGTTTGAATCAATCAAGTCCCACATGAGTAATTTGGCTCGGCCCATGAATAAGTTCAAGTGACTCACATGTGAATTTTGACTGCAGAACGACTTTTTTTCAATCGCCATGCTTTTCAAATGCCAAATCTAATGCATAAATTACTCTAATGTGCAGTCCCAGAAAATATCCATACTCCCCCCACAGAAGGGATTGAAAATTCCTTGGGGGTGGGGGGTTCTCAAAAGCCCAAAAATTTAAGTAAATGTATGAAGCTTGACTGGAATTTCCAGAGGGGTGGGGGGAGGGTCTAAGGGAAAATCCCTTCCATGGGGAAGGTATGGATAATTTTTGGAAACACACAATTTATTTTGACTGGTAAGCAGATGTAGATCATTGTACATGGTGAAAATGAATTGACCCATCTAATAAAGTTCAACGCTTGAATCAAATATCAAACTTATATCATCTGGGTCGACTCAAGTAAGTTTTAAGTTTAGTACATGAAAAGTTCGACGATGAAAGGGGCCTAATGACTGATTATACAGGGGAATCAACAAAATAGAAAGCCTTTTACTAACAGCTTCTGTATGAACAGGATGTGTAGTGAAGAGGAGTCCAGCAAAAAGTGCTAAAACACTTGATTTGAAAGCCACCACATCGCACATAAAGGTGTACAACAACGAAACCATACAATGCAAAATAATATTCACTGCATGGTAGCCAAAAGGATTTAACCCATGGATCATGTAGTTCATTCGAAAAGTTAGCGCACAAAGTGGTCGGTAAGACTTGTGGCTTGTGTTACTCCACATCGGCTTGCCCCAGAAGTCATTCATAAATAAATTATAAAGTGAGGTGTCGGGACGAACATCTGAGTTCTCCTTGATTGCAAAAACATCATCGTGAACCAAATCATAGTCCAAGCTGTTCATATAACAGGTTAACGATGTCAGCGCAATGATTCCATATCCTAACGGCTTTGGTAGCCTTAAACAAGGAATATTACACAAATCAGCGCCACCGTTAGTCGTGGAATCCCCACTTGTCTTCTGACCTTGCAACTTCAAATCCGCCGCCATGTTGGTAACCAGTCTATCCCAGAATGCATTTTGGCAGCTGTTTTCAACTTTCACTGTTTTCACTTGTAGGGATGACTGAAATGTCTGTAATTGTAATACCCCGGATAAATTGAAAGCATTTCTTATGCAATTTTTGGGAGATAATCAATTTGTATTTTGCCAGCGTGAAAATGGTGCGCACCCTTTCTTTTCCCCTTGCGGGCTTTTCCTCCTCCTCCCCTGTAGCCGGGCCTCCCAGGTAAAAAAAATATTTTTTTCTATCCGTTACTATGGTAACGTCGATTGCTCAACTTCAGTTCAAGATGGCGGACGAAGAAAGGCTTGAAAGGCGACCTTTTTCGTGTCCTGTTCAACCGCTCACCGATAGAAAATTAAGCGCGGAGAAGCTTCCTAACTTAAGACCGTTTTCTATGGGTGCCGTAGAGGAAGACGATGAAGGTGAAATGTCAGAAGAACTTCTAGAAGAAATTTTGATTAAGCGTGCAAGTGGTGGAGATAACCTTGCTAAGTTTCAACTTGGACAGTTCTATTTTGAGCGGGAAATTTATGATAAAGCTTTGATCGCATTTGAAAGAATCAAAGGCAAAGATTTTCAAGCTAAATATCAACTTGGAGTGATGTATTATGATGGCATCGGAACAAAATCATATCCGGTGAGCTTGTGTACATCAAGGAAACAAGACTTAAGCTTACTTTATTCTCATACAATAGAGTGAATTTTTGATCATGTCCTTTATTGGTAACTGGGCAAGTCGCCCACTGAAAAGTCACCTCGATGAAGTTATGTCGCCTGAACCCCAAAGTTTATTATTAGCGCGAATACATAGCCACTAAACCGAGAAAGCACTTTACAATGTGTATTTGTTGTTTTTTAAATTAACCTGTGCAACTAAATGCTGTAGAGGTGAGCGTAAAAAGACAGTGACTGCATAACAATGTAGGTCAGCAGCTTTGGGCGACATGAATTCTGGAGGGTTGCTCGAGATGACTCCCGGCTAACTTTATTAAAAACTACGTTCTATCAGATACCGCCAACAATGTGAAAGTTTGGGTCTTTTCAAGCAGATCAGTCTAAGATAGGTGTTAAAATTAAAGGAGATCAGTTTTGGTATTACCTAGCCAAAAGGAATGGTATCAATAGTTTGTCTGGGTTAGGGTTAAAACAATTCTATTGCTACCCTATCTCAGACACCTGTCTATGTTTGGACTGCCAATTGCCGCTGAATATGTTGGTGATATGAGGAAATAGGGAATTTATTATCATTTCCTTAATTCACAAGTATGCATTTGGTTACCTTTAATATCATGGGTGACAAATAATGTAAATGCTCTCAAATAATTTTGAATGAACTCACTGACGTTTTACTTGGAGTTCATTTTAATCCCTTTAATAATTTTCTTTCTTTAATAGGAGAAGGGATTTCAGTTGCTCAAAGAGGTTGCAGAATCTACCAATCCTGATGCAACTCATCTAATTCCCTTTGCCCAGTATAATGTTGGCAGAGCTTATTATGAAGGGTTTGGAGTCAAACAGTCAGATGAAGAAGCAGAGAGATGGTTCCTGGCAGCTGCTCAAGATGGGGATCCCAATGGCAGCATCAGGGCACAGACAGTCCTTGGTCTGTTTTACTCACGACCAGGAGAGGATTCCTTTGACTTAGACAAGGTTTGTACCAGGAGGGCTGGGTGTTACTCCCTTAAATAAAGCCATTTAAGCAATGGAAAACGTTTTCTTTGTTTGCATAGCCAGATATAAACATGAGAGAGGTTGGGAGAATTTGAGACAGTTATGCAAACCTGAGACGAAGTTGAGGGTTTGCATAACTGTTGAGAATTCTCTCAACACCTTGGGTGTCTATATCAGGCTATGCAAATAGAGGAAAAAAGTTTCCTATTGCTTTTATAAATTAACTTCCCTGAGAACAAACGCAAACTGAAACTCTTTGTTATGGCACTGATTAAAACAGAAATTCTTATCAGTCATGCGTTATCAGTTCTTTTTTTTTTTACAAAAAAGAGGCTTTCCAAAATACGGATTTTTCTTGCTTAAAATGTCAGTTAAGTGAAAAGAGAATTGACACAGCATGTTTTGTAATGATTTCCCAAGTTTCAACCAATGGGGGAATTGGTAAATAAAGTAAACTTGTCGAGCTTTCAACTCAAAAGCTTTTTCAAATTTGTGCTTGCAAGATTAGTGCTCGAAAAACAAAACATCTTGACCTCACAACCATGTTTACATGCTCTCATGCAAACATGCCTCTCGGCCAATCAGAGCGTGCGTACTATCTTAGTTATTTTATAAATAGGTATGTGCCACCCCAAAGGGTATGGTTTTTGCACGGTTTTGGTCTGAAAATGGGTATAGACTTTGCCCATTTTAGTCTGGAATCAGGTATGGTTTTTGAGGAAACTACAGGAGTCATGTATTTATCATTTCAATTCCAAATGAATAAGAAAGAAAGAGAAATATGGGAATTCAAAATGGATTTTTTTTATTTTTTTTTAATTTTTTTGTCAGCATTCTAATCTAAGTAATGATGACAATTTCTAAGAGTACAGGTCTGAAAACTGGTGCACAAAATGAAATTTTTTAGTTTGAAATAGGGTCAGGATTTGAAGAACCAGGTGGCACACCCCCACCAAGAATTCCAAGTAGTACCTCCAGGGCCCCCTAGGCCCCTTCCCAAGTTCCCTCTTCTATGCACAGTTTTAAACTCATGTAAAACACTGGGTATTAACTTCAGTTGATTTTAAATCGTAGTTTGATTTCTTTGCAGGCTTATTTCTGGCACCAGGAAGCCACAGGAAATGGAAGTCTTGAGTCACAAGGTAGATTGAGAATTGCCAGCTTGAGCTGAGCAACTTCAATTTCACTCATAAGCAGACCTCTAAGCAGAATGGTGCAGGGGTTTATAAGTCAATGAGCTTTGTTAGCTAAAAATATTTGATTATTTTACAAAATTCATCGTAAAATTCTGAAATAAGCCCGGGGGCTTATATTTTGCAAAGGCCCTCTTTGAGGGGCTTATATTCGGAGGGGCTTATCTACAGAGGGAAATTTGCGTTTCAAAATCGATTGGGCTAGCCTTATAGTTGGAAGGAAATTTACCGTTTTTGCTTTGTTTTACTTTGTATTTGAGGGCAATTTCCAAGGACAAGCCCCCCGGGGGCTTATATTTGGAGGAACGATTTAATGGAGGTTTTTTTGCGTACGAGTTTGAAGGGCTTATAAGCTCTTATACATGGAAAGGCTCATACATGGAGGGGCTTATTTTAGGAATTTTATGGTATTATGGTTCAAAAGCCTCTTTTTAATTGTGTTGTGCACTGTAATCTTATTCTATCTTGTTGTAGGTGCTTTGGGTGTTATGTTTGAATATGGTATTGGTGTTCGGCCTGACCGCCAAGCTGCATTTAAGTGTCTCAAAGAGGCTGCAGCCCGGGGAAATGTTTATGCTCAAGGCAACTTAGCTGTCCTTTATTTTAGAAGAAAACTGTTAAACAAGGCTGCGGATGTAGCCAAAAGGTACTGAACTAGTTTAAAAAGAACTGTAATCATGTCAAACAACCTGGAAAATAATAGCAACAGCTCCACTGAGGGAGATACTCGGAAAAAGACTCCGTAGGAATTCGTTCAACAAAGGAAAAGTAAGAAATAGACATTTTCCGAGTCTTCTTTTCTGCTTGGAAACTCCGGGCGGGGAGCGGGGGGGGGGGGGGGGGTGCCCCCCAGGGCGGTTTGGTATACGTTTTCCGCTGGGGCCTCCCGCCCCCCCCCCCCCCCCCCCCTTCTAAACAAAAACATATTATCTCCCCCCCCCCCCCCTTTTTTTAGAGGGGAGCACACGCCCCCCCCCCCCCCCTCCCTGTTTTACTGGGGGGGGGGGGCGGGGCGGGGAGGGGGAGGTCACGGGGTTTTTTTTTTTTTGGGAGCCGGCCCCCCCCGGGATCTCCCCCTCTCCCCCCGCCTGGCCCTTCCTGTTCTTTTTTTGGTGGGGAGCCCGGGGGGGGGGGGGGGGGGGGGGGGGGGTTGCACCCAAGGGCAGTTTGGTATACGTTTGCCGCTGAGGCCTTCAGCCCCCCCCCCCCCCTCCCAGTTAAAGACAAAAATCTTTCATATCGCCCATACCCTGTTGTTTAAGACGGGAGAACTAGGCTCCGTCCACCCGTATCCGTTTTTGTTTGAAAGCGGAGATTTTTTTTCACCAGTTCTGCCTACCGTTCACACGTATCAGGCGAAAACGGTCACCGAAAACGCATCTTTTCAAAAACGTTCGAAAACGGTCACCGAAAACGCAGGAGGTTTTCGAATACGATGATGTCGTACATCATACACCACTAGCGTTACGCATGCTCCGTAAGGGATGCTATGATTCTTTTTAGGGTTTTCGTGTGGACGGGCGAAAACGATTCAAATACGCCACGTGTGGACGCGTATTTTTTATTTTTTGTACGAAAATAGGGACCTTAGGATCCAACGTCGTTCACGGCATTGAGATACGTCAAAAAGCAATAGGTTTAGATTAGCAAAACAACAACTTTGCACGTGCATCACGCTTTTTTGTACAATTCTTTGCCATTACTGCACGACTACGACGTGAAAATACATAATTACACGTTTTACTTCCTCTTTTTGAACAGTTGGATAAGGCTCTTAGAGATTCAATTCCAGGAGAGTTCCTATACATATCAAAAAGTAAATGATATGGAATAATTGCGATGTAGACTGACAAAACGCGAATTCACTGTAAAAGCGACGTTTTCGCTGCCGTTGCCTTCCTCGAATCTTAAGGGCCCTAACGGGGCCTTGTTTCATTTGCTCTGTGTTCTGTTCAATGCATCTAGTGTTGGGGAGCAAGATGACGTTGAAGGCCTTGCCCTTGAGACGGACTGTCTTCCACAGTATGTAGCTAAAGGGATTGCTTTAGGATGCTTTGTGTACGGTCGCTGTCTGCATCATGGCTTAGGAGTTGAACGGGACAGGGAACAGGCGAGATATTGGTACTCAAGGGTATGTACCTATCTTTGTGCGTATGGCAATGTCACAAAAAATCATGTCCCAAAACTTATTAGTGGAGACCTTTAGATTCTAAGACGAGTACGACTACGAGTGCGAGATTTTCTCAATACCAAGTAGTGCCTGAACCAGCGTTATTTTGGCGGGAAAACGAGATAGCCGTCGTCGTTCTTCTACGAGTTTTGGCGAGAGAATGTCGTAGTATGCGGAAACAATTTATCAAATGTTGGAAGTTTTATCATTTTGGGATAGGAAGAGGCCGGCTTATCCTCTTTCAATAAAAATAACTGTGCCAACTATCGTTGTAAAAAAAAAGTACAATAAAGCTTTCCGGGGTATATATGTTTTGAGGATGCGCGAAAAAACGTGAAATTAAATCTCGTACTCGTAGTCCTACTCGTCCTAGAATCTTAAGGTCTCTATTGGTAAGCGACAGACGAACGTATTTTGTTGGAAGCATTCAGCATTTGAATCTGTTAGACTATACATTTCTTGATTTGGCAACTCCTAGAAAGAAACTACCGGAATCTAAAATGGTCTAAGATTGTGAATAGACTTTAGAGCCAGTTGCGTCACCATCATAAACCAAAGCTCGTTGTCCTTATAAAGGTCCTGTGACGATAACCTTTACTTTTTCGTTTGCGTTGTAAGGTTGGCTGAGTTTAGTGATTTAGGAAAAATCTCCGTCGCTGAATATCCAAAGGCAAGAGAGCATAAAGCCATGTTACTCGTTAACAGAATAAACTAACTGGCGAAATATGGCAGCGGGCTCAAAGTTTTCAGATACGTATATTAACCCTGTGTAAGTGGTCTTAGAAGTCCGCACTAACAAGTCAGGTTCATGTCTGGCTTTATCACCCCTTTCCATTTTTAAAATAGTAGGCTCTATTGTATATTGTAAATTTTTTTTTCCTTAATAGGCTGGCTCTTTTGATCTCGACGTGGTCGCCCGGCTCCAAGATGAAATGACGTACGGTTATATTTGAGACTTATTTTTCATCGTAGGATTTCTTGTCGATGCTTTTACTGAAGCAAGAAAAGAGATAAAGAGCGAGAAACCTAAAGGGGAGCTTTTTTTTCGTCGCTACAAAAATCACGATTATTTTCAAAAATCGTAGTTTCATCGCAGTTACGCCCTTGTCGAAAAGAAGTCTTGGTAAACTGCGAAGAGAGAAGGTATTCTGTTCTAAGGCTTGGTTTGTTATAAGTAGTTAAGAACTATTGTAAAGAAAAGGACGCTTTTCTCCCTTTTTCTCTCTCTTTAGGTTTGGTAAGTTATTTATAAATTCATTGCTCTAAATTTTTTCTTCGTTCATCCTTACGCTATAGTTTCCCATTCTTTTTTGAGCACAATTGCTCATTCCTTGAATTGCCGCGTGTGGCCTGAGTTTTAATTCTTGTGAAACTTCTTCACGTAATATTTCATTTAGTATCGAAACAACGGGTGCCTTGGCAGAGCCGAGATAAAAAAGAAAAGAAATGACTTCGAAAGTGTTTTACAAAATCGGCGTACCGATGCTTCTAAGAAAAATTTTTATAGAAGTTACAGAATGGCTTATGGATTTGGTGGATAGTGATCTGCGACCGATATACAGGTCAGATGTAATTCAAACGTCCTTTGCATTGATTTCCTCTTACCGTTCGCTCAACAAGAATGATTATTGAGTTTAAAAGTCACCTTTCTATTACCTGTTTTCGCTGTGTCCAAAGTTGTCGTTTCTTTGCGCCTTTTTGCTTTCACCGGCCCAATCATTCATCGAGGTGAAACTGAAAAAAATGGACGTGTACATATTTTTCACGAACTTGACAGTTGTACATGAACTTTTGATAAAGAGCTGTAAATATGTAAAACAGGAAAATTATGAGGGTATTTTTATGGAAGGAAATAAAGTTCTGTCCATATTGATTTTTTTGTTTTGTGTGCATTTTTATGCGTTTTGAGCCTACGAGCAAGCTCTCCATTTGGGGGAGTCGCGAGGTTGTGGCGTAATCAGAAAATTAGCTTAACTCCAAAATTCACATACCTCTAGTTAGTGTCCAGTCAAAACAACATAATCACTGAGAGATATATACCACTGAAACTCAAATAAGCGTCCACCTCCTTTCCCCCTCCCATCCCCCCAAAATTGAAAAAGTACTAATAAGAAACTTCCCCGAAAACGCAGAGTTTTCTTCGGAGTATTTTACAGAAACCTTGCCTCTTCGCGTTTTGTTATAACCATTTATTGTTTTGTTGCAAAATAAACATACCATACTTGCTGAAAATGTTGAAAATTTAATAAGCGCCCACCTCGAATAAGCGCCCATTTTCAATGACCAAAAGCGCTCAGGGCGGCTAATCGAATAAATACGGTACTCTTCAAAAAGTGCAACTGGTCAACTTTCATTCATTACAAGAAGTTGTCGTTTTAAAGTCTTGTAGGAATAGTTCAACAATTGACCACTCCAGAAAATGCCATAACATACCATAATACGCTTTGTTTGTAACACAAAGATTTTGCATAAGCATTGTTTTCAGTTTATCTTGGGGCCATTTTAACTCCCAAGAGAAACTGAAGACAAATGAATGCTTATGCAAAATTTTTGGGGTGACAAACAATAAGCATTATTGTGAAAGGTTTGAACCCACGAGTCATTTCAAAAGGTTGTGTTTGATCGTCCGGGTGAACGTAGTCCTGAATAGGACTGTTGTTGTTGACAGTCACTGACGTTTCGACAACCTGTGCGGTAGTCATCTTCAGAGTCAATTGATATGATTGGTCAATTATGTCGCGATGTTATTGGTCGTCTGTCAGTTAAGCCGTGATGTTATTGGCTATGAAGACTCGTAATCAGTGATTGGTGCGTTTCGATTGGCTACGATTCAGTGGCGTTTGTTCTAAGTTAGTAAACCAGCTTTCTAAAGTAAGACGTTGATAGTAGTCTGTAGAATACGTTATACATGTCGCAGAGTCGCAGTCAATTTGATGTTTCGTCTTTAAATAGTGCTCAGCAATGTGATTGTTGACGTCACCATTCCTCGTCGCGCGTTTGTGTTCGGTCAGTCGCGTGCTTAGGTTTCTACCGGTTTCACCAATGTAAGAAGCCTGGCAATCGCAGCCTTTATCTTGTATACTGCTCCCTGTCTGTCCTCCGGTTTGTCTTTGTCCTTGACATTAATAAGCATTATGGTATGTTATGGTATTTCTGGAGTGGTCACTGACCCATTCGGTCCCAATTCAATACATTGACCCTAAAGTCTTTTGGGAGTTTGCGGAAGGAACTAATTAGCGCAAATAATGACATGGATTATCCAACAAAAAGTGTTTGCTTGACAACCAGCCTAAAAAAAAAAGGCAGTCATTGTCGATTATGCTTAATGAAGTATAACTAAATGATTTGTTCAGGAGATTTCGATGGACGGGGTTTTTGTCACTAAAACGAAAGCCAGCTGAAATAAAGTAAGATCTTGAAAACGTAGTATATTAGTAAAAACAGTGTCCTCCAGGCGAAACTTTATTTTCTGGAAAAGATTTTGTTTGGTCGAGTAAAAGTCAATGAAGGCTTACGGAATGTATCCCTTTGTTTAACCACTGCAACCAATTAGTATTAACAAAAGATAGTACTAACAAAGGATGGCGAATCGTATTATTAAAATCACTTCTCACCCGGCACGTTCGTTTACGAAATCTCTCAACCAAATTCAAGCAAGTATCTCTGAATAAACCTTGCCCACTTGCGTAAGTATAATATAGCAAACACATTCAAAATTCGTTCATTGACACCAGGCTAATTATTTCTTTGACTCCCCGGCGGATAACTATCCTTGATCCATCCGCATTCTCAAGGAGAATACAAAATTGAATATCCCTTTTGAACGACAAAGCATATATACTATTCATATTTCTATACCAAGAAAATCTGTATAAGGATAGCCGGAGTTGATGCTGTCATGATGATGTTTTTTTGTTGCAAACCGAAATATCGGGCAAATGCACTTTACCATTTGAATTGTCTTCTTGCCGTAAGCATCAGTTTACTGTTTTTCTACTTGGTATTAGGTGATAAGTTATATTTTTAACATCGATCCCTACACATTATTGGCGAGATGTCTCGTTACAGATCGAGCAAACGGTAAAACTGGGAAGTCCAGTACAGTGGACTCCCGGTAACTGGAAGTAATTTTCATTTTCCATATAATTTTATCCTCGATAACTCGAACTCCCGATAACCCAAACTTTTTCTATTTCCATTAAAGGTTCGAATTATCGGGAGTCGACTATACTTACGGGTTTTTTTATACATAAACAGATTGTGTGGTGAGTAGGTTCTTGTGGTAACACCTCCTCTCCCCTATGGCGACAACTAAGCACCCCCACCCCCTGCTGAGAAAAATACCTGGATCCGCCCCTGACGTCCAATAACAGGTTAATCCGGTCTAGGTTAAACAAATGGCTGTTATTCGCCTACTCATATTATTTATGACATATCCGTCACTTACCGAAATGCGGACAAAATCTTGCGACATTGGAACGCGCTTCAATTCCTCATTTCACTTTTCAATCTGAACCAGCCGATGCAAGGTAAGTCACGTTCCATCTTTTGATGCATGGTTTTCCTCGTAGACGTAATCTACTCCCGGAGTTGACCAGAGTTTCATTGTTTCGTCTGTGGCGAAATGCATCAGTGGGCAATGTGCAAAACGCCTTAATGTGAACAGAAGCCGAAGGGGTTTAAATATATAAAACTTTAAGTTGAGAATTTCATAACATCACTTGTCAAGGCGGAAATGCTCGGGCATCTTGAAAGATAGCGAGTGTAAACTGGGGAGGAGTACCAAATCTAGCTAAATCTACCAAGTTCAGTGTTATTTATGTTCAGGCGAGATGCAACGTTAACAAACATGTCGTTGAGAGTTTCAGCGATTTGTACAGGATCGGTGATAACTCCATTTTCGATTCCGTTTCCAGTTCAGCCATTTTATTCGCCTGCTTTTGCGTCCCGTTTAATGTTTTGAGAGGCGGCTCCAGATACCTTCACTGTACCTTCCTTGCTTTCGGTTTTCCTTGTTGTTGTCGATTGATTCAGAAGTACTATTTCAGAAACGAGTGCCAGGCCAGGGTGCCAGGGTTTCATCAGGTTTCCAAACGCGAGAAAACATTTGCGGCCCAGTGGTTTTATTGTTTTCGAGCGTTTGGAAACCTTATGAAACCCGAAGCACGAGTTTTTGAAGAAACAATACAAAATTATGCAGTGTTGTCTTTTTCCCATTTTTCTTTAAAATGGCTTGTATGTGTGATTTGTTGTATTCAGTCGGCATTCATTATATTTGTGAGCTTTTGTTTTTATAAATTATCCAATAGTGGGTTTCGCGTCGCACCGCCAAATTTGTATTCCAAAAGCGTTATGAACTTGACAGCTGACTTGAAGTGATTTACATATTGTTTTTGTCATGGCCGGAGGAAGGTTTCGCTTTCCGTGAACAATCGAGGAAGAAGAACTCTGGCGTAGAGAGAGCAGTACCATAGTCTACCAGACATAAAAATAAGTGCGGGGCAGTAGGCATTTTTGAGGATTGATGGAGTTTTTAAAGAGTATGGATTGGACAAAGTTCAGCCGCTTACTCGGCCAACATGGACGCATTGACGCTCAACTATTGGTTATCCAAATTTGTTCAAGAGGTGGCAAAGTGTTCCAAAGATCCATACCCTCCGAAAACGTTGTACCAGATTGTCTGCAGCATTCGCCGATTCTTGGTGGAAAAGAACCCAGCCTTCGAGTTCAATCTCTTTTCTGACTCTTCAGACAAAAGATGCGTGAACTGGCGTTATTGGAGAGGGGAGCCGTTTGAAGTTTTAAAACTTAAGGAAATTGCATCGAACTTTTCTCTTTTCCTCTTTAGATTTGCTATCTTTAGACGAATATTGGACGCAGAAATGAAGGATGGAACTCGAGTTGGCGTTGGTTTCAGTGAAACAAAAAGAAAAAGAGCCAGTCAGTTTGTAATTTGAAATGTCTTTCCTGGCCATTGGTTAATATTAAAAATCAATGATTTATGTTAAGCTGTGTTTGAGTAATCTATGATTATGCAGATCAAGAACAATTTTATCACTAGTGATGAAAACGCGAAGAAACACTATATAATGATTTTCAACTGGTGTTTCATTGAATTTCAAAGTCATTCACCTGACCCGAATGAGGCGCTCTGGTTGGCTTATAACGTCGTGAATTCTTAATGAGTTTGAGAAAAGTAATATTTCTTTTTGAAGATTAGACTTCCTGGCAATTTTTTGCAGGGACACTCAACGACTTATTCTACAAAATATCTGTTCGGAGAAGCAAATATTGCCTTGGATTTTCTATTACTTGAGCACGGCTAAAAATTTCTAGATGACCGTTCCATTCATGCAATATTTTCAAACCTTATCTAAATTCCCTATGATTTTCTAAAGTTTAATTATTCGCAATTCATTCTCTAGTTTAGGCTATTTTTCGTAGAAAAAGAAAACCTAAAATTTTCGGATTCGAAAATGCGATGGAGAGAGGAATCAAAAAAATTATTAATTTTGTAAAACTTTGATCTAAAACTTTCGGAAGAATAATATTATGAAGCATTTGTAATTTCGAAAAGACTCAGGTTGCCCTAGAATGACCGAACAGATACAAATTTTATAGCGCCGCTTAGAATGCACTTGTAGATATCTAAAAGTACTCTGGGTAGCCTAAAAAGTGTTTTCTATGAATTTTTTTAGGAAACGAACAGTCGTTATAAGTGAATTTAGGAGGAAACGAACAGTCGTTATAAGTTTGTCCGAACGTTCTTTGATGGCTGTTCAGTTTTATATTTGTTTTCATCCAGGGAGTCTGGTTTTGTCGTTTGACTCGTTTTCCTTTGGAACGAAGGTGTTGATCCAGAACTGCATTTATCTTTGTTTCGAAAGCGGAGACAATTTGTGTTAATGTCGTCACTAAGCAAAGAAAGTCTCCCACGGGATAGCATTAAGTGAATCCATGATCTCATTAGGCACGTTCTTGATGTCTGCGTATCTTATCTTGATGTAATCCGATTTCCTAGGTTTCTTGGTATATTAACGGCAGATAAATATCGGGAGGTGATCTGCTAAACCAACTGGCAACGATATAGGAAAAACTTCCCAACGGTGTAAGCTATAATCGTGGTCCAGGCAGGCACCACTAGCTGGTCTGGTCCCGGGGGGGGGGGCGGTACTGCCATATATGAGCCGCTGTGAAGGGTATGGTTTTCAAGCAGTTTACTCTAGGATAGGGTACATAAATCAGAGTGTTTGGGTCTAGAATAGCGTATAATTTCAGGAAACTGACCAGTTGGTTGAAGATTTTATCTAGACTAGGGATTATGGTATAAGGTTTTGTTTTGGCTAGACTATGCTAGCGACCTCAGTGGTTTCTGGAAAATAGTTACTCTATGATAGGAGGATTTGGGGAGTTTACTCTAGTATAGGCTAGCAAAATTCAGCTGAACTAGCTCTGGTATAGGTTAAGGGTTCCAGGGTCCCAGCAGCACATCCCCACCCAGAAAAGTAAAGTACCCCCCCCCCCCCCCCCCGG